TGTGTTCTTTAGTCTGAAGAAATGTTGGAATCCAAATCCACACAATATGTCTTATTCTGCTTCTTGAATAGCACTCTGAGCACTTGCATCTTCCATGAGTACTCAAGGCCCAATTCAGAGTTAGTGTCTATCTCTATCAAGACACATTTGTAGTCCCCCAAGCACACCAAGTCAGTCTCCTTTGCCAGGTATATTCAGGGGCTCCCCACCATGGAATCTGCTTCTTGACCATTGTAGCCTCCATCTCTTTTGTTGGCAGACAGGACAGTTTTCAATGCTCTTGTGCCTGATAGGGTATGCAGTAGGTGCATGTCCAGATTCAGCTTATGTCAGTCTTGCTGTAGGTCCCCCATATCCACTCATTTCTTGGATCCAGGTGGCTGTCTTCTACATGCATATAGGGATATCTGTTGATTACAGGCATCTTCTGAGCTTGGAAAGGTGTTCTTCTGAGAGATATCCACATATGCTACATTAATGCAAGCCTCTAACTTTCCATTTGGTTGTTTCCCAAATGAGCATATTTCTATACTGCTGTTCCCCACATTGGCATCCTTTTAAGAAGCCAAGTTTTCATTGCCCTTCTACCTGACCACGTAGCCAGGCCATAGGCAGTAAAATCTCCAGCACAGAGGCTGTTCCCAGTATTCAAGTCCTCAGCTTGCATTAAGCCCACTGAGTTATTTTGTTTGTACCTTCTTTGATCAGTTACATCCTTCCAAGGGAGGCAGGGGTGTCCATTCTCCTTGGAACTACTATCTACACACCAAGAAGCTCCTTGCCAGTCAGATTATAAGTGTTTATAGGGCACTTTCCAAGTGTTGATAGACTCTAACATCTTGGGCAGTTGCAGAAGCAATCTTAGGGCAAAACCAGCTCCCTGCTTGTGAATATCACCATCTTGTATTCTCAGGTAGCCTGATCCAGTAGAATATATTGAATTCTTTACTCTCATGTCCCACTGGGAATGATCATAGGCTCTTGTCTTAGCCAGAGTTTTTGTTCCATACTGGGCTATCTAATATAGAATTTGTCCCAATCAGCATTCCAGTTTATTTTCTGTGTTGTGGGAGTTTGGACATTCACACTGGGTCCCATGTTGGTGTTTGTGGAAAGATGAATTTACATGCCTTCTTTTCTTTCTTTCTTTCGTTCTTTCTTTCTTTCTTTCTTTCTTTCTTTCTTTCTTTCTTTCTTTCTTTCTTTCTTTCTTTCTTTCTTTCTTTCTTTCTCTCTCTCTCTCTCTCCCTCCCTCCCTCCCTCCCTCCCTCCCCCACCTCAGGGCCTCATGCCTGCTAGCTGCTAGGCAGGCGCTCTTACCACTTGAGTCATTCTGCCAGCCCAATGCATTCTTTTTTTTAAAAAAAATTATAATGTAAGAGTCAACCGAATTTTCACAAATAGGTTTCTCTATCATATGGTATTTTAAAAATAAATTTAAATTAAACAGATAATTATGTTTAGCATTGATTGATAATAATGGATTTCATTGAATCATTTGTATGTATATAACATACTTTCAACATATCACTTTATTGTCTTCTCTTATCCCCTTCCTGTCTAGTCCTGATTTCTTTCTTCTTCACTAATAGTTCCCCTTTTATTTTCATGTCTTTTTAAAAAATACAGCTTCCCCGTCTGAGAGAAAACTTGCTATACTTGTCTTTCTGAGTCTGGCTTATTTTATTTAGTGGAATGATTTCAAGTCTATTGGTTTTCTTGCAAATGACATAATTTCATTCTTTATGGTTGAATCATGTATATAGTCAACATTTTGCTTTTTCAGCCATCACTTGATGGACACCTAGGCTGATTTCATAGCTGGGCTATTGTGAACATGCTACAGTGAATGTTGGCATGCAGGTATTGATCTATAGTGGGTATGGACAAGGAGTGGTCTACCTGCATCACATGGTAGATCCATTTTAGGTTTTGAGGAGCCTCCATACTGATTTTCCCAGAGGACTGACTAATTTACATTCCCACCAACAGTGTACAAGGATCTATTTTTTTACCACATCCTCATGATCATTTGTTGATTTTTTTTCTTGATGACAGCCATTGTGTGGGGGTGAGATGTAATCTTAATGTAGTTTTGCTTTGCAAACATCTTTAGCTAAAGATGTTGAAAACATTTTTATGTGTTTATTGGTCATTTATACTTCTTCTTTTGAAAAGTGTCTGTCCAGTTCATCTGCCTATATATTGGATTATTTTTTCTTTTGGCATTTATTTTTTTGAGAACTTTATATATTTTATATATTAATTTCCTGTCAGATATATAGCTGGCAAAGATTTCCTCCCATTCTGTAGGCTGCCTTCTTCAGTCTGAAATTGTTTCCTGAGCTTGTGCAGAGGATTTTTAATTTGATCCCACCCCATATGTCAAGCCCTGCTCTTATTTCCTGAGCTACTGTAGTCATATTGAGAAAGTCATTGCCTGTGCTTTATCTTGAAGTATCTCCCTTATGTTTTCCCCTTGCAGTTTAAAAGTTTCAGGTTTTATATCAAGGTTGTTCATCCATTTTTAAAGTGAGGGATAGGGAGCTAGTTTCGGCCTTCCATATGTGCCATGACCACTTCTTACAGAAGCTGTCTTTTCTCCAAAGTAGGTTATTGGCACTGTGGTCAAGTATCAGATGGCCGTAGCTATGTGGGTTCATACCTGAGTCCTCTCCTCTGTTACACTGGTGTAAGTATCTGTTTTTATGCCATAACCATGTTGCTTTTGTCACTATGGCTCAGCAATAAAGTTTAAAATCAGGTATTATGACACCTCCAACATTACTGTCTTTGCTCAGGATTGCTTTAGATATTGAGGACTTTTATGCTTCTATATGAGCTTTAGGATTTTTTCTCTATTTGTGTGAAGAATGCCATGAAAATTTGGTTGGAAATGCATTGATTCAGTAGATTGCTTTCAACAATATAGCTATTTAAACAATATTACTTCTTTGAACCTGTGTTGCCTTTCCGTTTTATAGTTTCTTCTTAATTTCTTTCTTCAGTGGTTTAGAATTTTTATTGCATAGATCTTTCATCTCCTTAGTTTTGTTTGCTCCTAGGTATTTTAGTACTTTTGGCGGGAATTGTGAATGTGTTTTGTTTTCCTGATAACCTTCTTAGTGAGTTGATTATTGATGTGTAGAAAATTTACTGATTTTTGCATATTGAGTTTCTGTCCTGATTCTTTGTTGAAATTCTTTATCAGATATATGTCTTCAGGTGGAGTCTTTAAGGTGTTTTAAGCATAGGATCATATCATCTGCAAATAGCAATAATTTCACTTGTTCGTTTCTTCTTTTTTATTTTAACTTTACTGGGATTTTAACTCAAGACCTCACGCTTGTTAGGCAGGTAATAAACCTCTTAATTCATACCCCCAGCTCTTTTTGCTTTAGTTACTTTTCAAGTAGGGTCTCATATTTTTGCCCAGGCCAATCTCAGATTAAGATCATCCTATCCACAGCCGCCTGAATAACTTAGATCACAGACATATGCTACCATGCTTAGATTATTGACTAAGATGGAGTCTCACTGTATGGACTGGAACCACAATCCTTCCAATCTCTGCCTCCTGAATAGCTTGGGTCATAGGTGTGAGCTACCATGCCCAGCCCTATTCCTTTTTCTTTCTTTTGCTTCATTGCTCTGGTCCAGATATCAAGCACTTAGTGAATAGAAGAGGTGAAAGTGGACTTCCTTGTCTCATTCCTGATTTTAGAGGAAATGCTTTCAGTTGTTACACATTGAATGTAAGTTGGCCATAGGTCTGTTATATATAGTCTTTATTATATTAAGGTATGTTCATTCTGTGTATTTGGGGGCTGTTAGTATGAAGGAATGTTAAATTTCACCACAAGCCTTTTTTGAATCTTTTTAAATGGTGGCCAAAAAAGTTCATGGAAAACAGACAGCCTTTAGACATTTGGTGGTAGAAGAACTAGCTATGCACATGTAGAGGACTGAAACTAGATCCCCATCCCTCACATTGCAGAAAAATTCATTCAAAGGGGGGTGAAAGACTTTAATGTAACATGGTTTTTGTGGGACTGGAATTTGAACTCAGAGCTTCACACTTGCAAAGAAGGCACTCTACCACTTGATCCATACTTTAGCCCACTTTACTCTGGTTATTTGGGAGATAAAGATCTCATGAAGTATTTGCCCAGGCTGGACTCAAACCTCAATCCTCCTGATCCAAGTAGCTAGGATTACAAGCATGAGCTTTGGGTGCTTGGCTGTAACAAGAGTTTTTGAAACTGCTAGAGGAAAAGATAAGAGAAACACTTCAAAATATAGTCATAGACAATGACATTGTGTTCTGAATAAGACTCCAATACTTCAGGAAATAAGAGCAAGAAATGACAAGTGGATTTGTATCAAGTTAAAAGCTTCTGCACAGCAAAAGAAACAACAGAGTGATGAGACAGCCTACAGAATGGGGAAAAAAATCTTTGCTAGATATCCATGCCAAATGAGATTAATAGCTACACTATATAAAAAGCTCGAAATATTAAAGAATGAAATACACCAATCAACAAATGGGGAATGGAACTGAACACTTTTCAAATGAAGAAGTCCAAATGGTCCATAAATACATGAAAAAACGTTCAACATCCTTAGCAATCAGGGAAAAGCAAATCAAGATTACATTGAGATTCCACCTCACCCAAGGCAGAATGGCTATCACGAAGAAAACAGTAACAGATACTGGCCAGAATGGGGAAGGAGGGAGGAGGAACAGGGGGCATGTTATTCCCTGCTTGTGGGAGTATAAACTAGTCCAGCCAGTATGGAAATCGGTATTGATGCTCCTCATCAGATTAAAAATAGAACTATCATATGGTCTAACCATACCACTTCTGGATATGTACTCAAAAGAAATAAGGTTCCTACAGAGATACTTGTATACCTGTGTTTATCGCAACACAATGCCAGCTGGGAAAACACTGGAGTGATCTAAGATTACAACTAAGGAGGGATTCAGAAAAGTGGAAGCTGGAAAGAGGGTTTTACCCACCACCCCCTCCCCCGGGTTTAGCTGAAGCGATCCAAACCTCCTGGCGAAAGATAGCGAGACAGCTTTCCAATGTTCCAGATCAGGTCTCTTGGCCTTTGTTCCAAAGTGATGATGCAGGTCCGCAACCCCTGGAACTGTGGGAACTGCATTACCCAGAAAACTCTGGTGGCAAAGGAAAGACGTAAAGCCAATGAGCGTTAGGAACAGAGTCAGCTTCCAGTTTGCACTATAAGGCTAGGGCGGGACTTCCGGCCTCGCACCTTTGGGCCTCCGATTTCCTGATATTGGCTTAGTGCAGCGATCTTTATTGCGGAGCCGTGAAAGCCGAATCAAAGTTCCGCGAGTGGGAAGCCTTGGAGTCGCGGGCATTGGGTCCACCCCAGCTCACAGCGGCTGGTGCTGTGACAGCGGCGGTGGTGACAGCCAGGCGCGGGTCCCCGCCCAGTCAGCCGACGCCAATGGCGGTCGCGGCACTGAGAGATCAGGTTCAGGTAAAGGCCCGATGTCCCTTAGTGCACCCGAGGACTAGAGCCCAGTTTGTGGCTCCTGATTCAGTCATGTAGTTCGTAGTTTTGTGTCCAGGTTATTGGGGAAGGCCTGAGTGGCGACTTAATTTCCTAAGCTACTACGATGAGGTTCGGGTGAGTGTTAAAGGCAGAGGGCCAGTTTTGTGACGTCTCAGTGGGGGACCATTGAGCCAGGAGCATTTGCTCACCGTTGGGAGAGTCGGAGTTTTATCTTCATTTTTCAGGGCGCTGGAAACCATGGAGGGGTCTGAAAAGAAGAGGCAGATGAGTTAGGATTTTTTCAGAGTTTCACAAAAGCTCCTGAGAATTAGTTTAGGAGGATGACAGTACTGAACAAGCAGGAGGTTGTACCCTTGTACACGTTCCTACAGGTAAATCCGCATCAAGGAGTGAGGCTCTTTTGTGAATGTCACAACGTATCCCCAGTACAACAATTAAAACAAAAAAGAGTAAGGCTCATTCTCAGTCACCTGGATCCTAGGTTGGACAGGGGAACAGGGAAGCCTGATCCCATGGAACCTACCATGATTCATGATTGCCTGCCTCTCATGACCTCGCTCTTTCCACAGATTCCCATCACTATGGAAGGGCTGATAGACAGTGCACAGGTGAGTGGAAGATGTTCCCCGCCCTCAGTGGAGGTGACCACACCCTTGGCCTCTATCTCCTTTTAACAGCTTTTCCCGTCCTTGAGTTTAAAGACTATAAAAATTAAAATGCTAAAGTCAACAGTCAAGACTTGGGCATATGTGGAGCGTTTTTTTATTGCCTGCAACCCATGGAATGAGGTACAAAAGGTTGTGCCAGGAATAGGAAATAGAATATGCAAGTGTGTAGAAGTGAGGATGAGCCTGTTTAGGGAACCAGGGTTGCCTTTCTTTCTTACAGGAATTGGTAACAGAGGAGCAGGAGTCAGAATAGGACTGTGTCTCTCAGATGTTGATGTCTATTCTGGAGGTTGTGGGATCGGTGAATGATGTGGACTAGAGGAGGAGGTTCTGTGACCCTGATCTCATTAGGCTCCATGTGACTGTAGCATATTGTGTAGGGGAAGCAGGGGAAGAAGCTGCTACAGTTGGCCAGGGAATGTTGATGGTGGTCGTACCAGAGTAGTGGCTATGGAATTGAGAAATGTGGTTGATACTCTGAATCCATTTTTATGTAAGATTGCTTGAAATTCAGATTTTAACAAGAGAAGAAAGTTAGAGTCATGTGTCACTGCAATGTTTTTGGGTTTAGCAGTAGAAGAATGGAAGTTCAATTTACTGGGATGGTAAAGTTCATGGTAGGATAGTTGTCATTAGAGATGTCAGAAGTTTTGTTTTTGGCTGTCTTACGAGTTTGAGACGTTTCAAAGAATAATTAGTGAAGACATCAAGCAGGCAGCTAACCCCAGAGGTGTGAAACAAGAGGGATTCAAGATGAAGACATCTAGCCATTGTGGCAAATGTCTGCACCATGGTACAGCTGTGAGTCACAGTTAGGAAGAATCCTGGTCATGGTAGTAAGGCCCTGGAAAGCATGATCAAATGGGTCTTAAGCTTGGGCTCCTGGGTGTGAGTGGTGGGCATCACAAGCACCATGTGCAGACATGACCATGGGAAGGGCACTGGGTCTGGTTGATGATGAAGGGTGCCAGTGGATGATGCACATGATTTGGATGCTGATTCATGGGTATAACTAAGGAAGGTGATGCTGAGTTCAGGACTTGTGCTTTTTTGTCTGAAGTCTGGACTCTACAGTTTCTTTTTTTTTTTTTTGAACCTCCTTGTATTTGAGTGAAGTATGAGAGTGAGGAAGAGCAGGGGATAAATGAGTGAGGCAGTGAACTTGGGGACCTTGGAAAGAAGCTGGTTATGGAATGAACTTTCCCCATCCTGGCAGGCCTTTGTGACCTGTAAGGTCCTGGTCATTTACTTCTCCCAGGAACAGTGAGGGGCTTTTTGATGAGGCTTGGAGGCTATTGTAGCTCAGTGTGATGCTGGAGAGCTCATTGTAACCTGCCTAGGTAAGGTTGTCACACCAATTCCATTGTCTTAAACTGCTGTCGTGTTTAGCTGCTTTTTCCCTAGAGGCAGTTCTACCCTTTCCAGAGCCAGACCACAGGCTCTGCCAACTTCCCCACTGTCTTGGCACATGTGCAAGGATGAGCTGTATGCAGTGCCCTGAGAAGTCCTAACTCCTGCTGCCCTGAAGAGGGGAGGGAAGGGTCAGGGAGTCAGGTGTCTTCTATCAGCCTAAGAGATGTCACTTTACTTATTTACCCCTTGAGTTACTGTGCTCATGGCACTGTGCCCCAAGTTCTCTGCCTTCTTCTAGATGATATTCCTTGTCAGGAATTGGGAGCATTTTCCTAATTGAAATTTACATGCACCATGGACTGGTGCCAAACCTCAATCAAGGATTGTTTTAATATTAATTTTGTGGTGGCTAGGGTGCTCAGTTGCTCTGAGAGAGTGCTAGAGGCTGATAAATACTGTTTCCCTTAGGACTTGCTTCATGCAGAGCTATTGGTGGTACAACTAGAGGTGCCAAGAAAGCCTGGCTTCTTCATAAGGTCCACATGGGAAACATGATCTGGAGGAGTCTTTCCCTTGATGGTTTCAAAGTGTTCACACCCTGGCCATTTCCAAATCATGAGGAATCTGACCTGTGTCCCCAGTGTTTTGGCACAAATGCCAGTGGACATAACTCATTTGTATCTTTTCTTCCCCACACTTTGCTATTTTGTCATTTTATCTATAATTTCCAGCCCCTAACTGACCCAATTTTTTGGTCTGTGTACATCAGTTATTCCCATTTTGGCCCCTTTTGCATTGTGTAGCATTGGCCCATACCCAATATGCTGTGAGGTGTGCACATATCCTTAAATATTCCTGAACACTTAACACCATTTCTAGTTGTTTTCCTAGACCAGAATGCAAGCAACTATATAGCAGGCATTTGTCATCAGCAGATGAGGTTATGATGAAGGCTTTGTGGAGAGTTAGCGAAATTCAGGGCAGGTTATGACTCACTGCCATCTCATAGTTTTGAATCATGAGCTAGAAGTACCTGAAGGTGTTTGGTTTGTAGAGGGATGAGTTAAAGAGCATGCCTCTCTTTCCTGTGCTGCACACTATCCTTTTGTGTTTTAGCTGGTGAGGCTTTTATAATCCTGACAACAAAACTGCCTATAGTTGCATATCCTCAAAGCAGTCCTATGGGCTCTCCTTGGTTTGTATGTGATGGGTCTTCTAATTCTCACCATAGTCAACATGTATTCCATCCTTACTTCTCTGATTTGAGTTAGGGGCATCCATCACAGATTGACAAGTCACCTTCTGTGCAGTGTTTCTGTGGCAATATTGCTCATTAAGACTCTAAAGAAATGTCCATCTAGAATATTCATGTCAGTGATATTTCTGGCTTAATGTTCTTTTTTTCCCCTTGAGGCAGGTCTCACCATATAGACTGAGCCAGCTTTGAACTCATTCTGTAGCCCTGGTTATTCCAACACTAGGCCATCATGCCTAGCTCTTTTGTGAGTCAATCTTGAAAATCGTTTTGCACCTTATTCATCCACTGTGCAGAAGCTATTTTTATTAGTTCTTATTATGAGCACCAGCAGCACCACAGTGCAGAGAAACCCTTGAAGAGGGACACAGACAGGATCTGGGACAATTTCCTGTCAAATTGGCTCTCCCATATGATTCCCCAAAATGGTAAGGCAAGCAAGTCTCTGTGTGTGCACAGGCCCTTCCTGGTACAAAAATGTACGACAAGTTAGGTGAGTGCAGAAAAGGTGCCAGTTCCAAACACCCTCTTGTGTACCACCCAAGTGTCTGCACTGAAGAAACACCCTGTGAGTGTGGTGAATGTGAGTCAGCCTTTAGTCAAACATCATATGGTTCACAGTAGAGTAAGGCCTTATGTGTATGAATGTAATCCAGCATTATCTGACACCAGAGAACTCATTGAGGAAAGACTTTTTCATTTTTGCTAGTGACATGATCTAATGTTTTTTCTCTCCAAAACTTGTGTTGAAATTAATATTCATTGTAATGGTATTGGGAGGTATGACATTTAAGATATATTTAGGTCATGAGAATTTCACCTCATGAATGGATCAACACTGATTCTGTGAGAGTGAAAGCATTCTTGGTGAGAGTGGATTGTTGTGAAGTCAAGTACAGCCCTCTCTTGCCCTTCTGGCGTATATACTGTCTTGCCCTCTGCCATGTTACAGTGCAGCACAAAGGCCTTCACAAGATGCAGGCCCTCAAACTTGGGCTTCTTAGCCTCTAGGAGTAAGTTTATTTTCTCCATAAAATTACCCAGCTTGTGATACTCTGGTATAGCTGTAATAATAAACCAATACAACCAGTGTGAGAAATCCTGTAAGCTCAGTTGTATCCTCATTATTCACCAGAGTTCACATTACAGAGAGGCCTTACAGGTGTTGAAAATGTGCAAAATCCTTTAGTTAGCAATCCAGCCTTATTAATCCTTGCAGAATTCATATTACAGATATACCTGCCCTGCTAGTGTGCCCAGTATGAGAAATCCTTTAGTGGAAAGTCTTTTTCCTCTGTATGCAACAGGTATCCATGTAGAATAGCACTGTAATGCAGCAAATGTAAGAAGTCTTAGCTAATGCTGTAGCCTCCTTCAGTACCACAGTGTTATACCATGGAGAGAGCCCATCAAGGCAGGAAACGTGGGAAATCTTTCAGCCCAAAGTCTAAAGCTGTTTACCACCAGAAATCTCCACTTAGACCTGGAAAAAAAAAGTGCTGTTTATTGAGCATATTGGCACTAGAGAATCCTTGTGAGAATGCTATCTGCCTGAAGTTGAACCTCACACTTCCAAACATCCTGAGGGATGGGGATGAGATTTCCCATGAGGTTGAGCATGGGTGAGGCTTGCAGAAGTTGCTGTGTACATTCTAAACTGCCCAGCACCCTTGTCAGAATTATATCACTACCAGTTTCTCTAGTAGAAGCCCTTTTTTCTCTAAACCCTTGCATGTACAATGGGCATTGGTCACCCAGATGTGCTAAGGCAAGGTAGATAGGTCTATGTTCTCTTACTCCCTAGAGAAAATCTTTAAGTCTGAGCCTTTAGGGGGGAATGCACTGTCTTTTCTGATGAATTAAAGTATTTCTCTGACCAAATTTGGCCAGGAGAACCCAGCCTGGATTCCCTGGAGGATATCTTAAGTATTCTGAGCCCTTAAAGCAATTTAAGAGAATAGTTTCTGGCTGGTGATGCCATGGATCTGACCGTGTTTAGGCCAAGAGGGATCATTCTGGGTTCAGCAACAGACTTGGGGGAAGACTTGACCTTCTTCATGGAAATTGTTCTCACATGATACTTGGAATTCATATTTCCAGCCTCCAAATTGCCAGCTGGTAATCACTTGCCCCACATTGCTCTGCCTTGAGCACCAATAAAGTTCTTATGATTGAATCTACCATTAACCATGGATATTTCAGTCACTGTTTTGGGTGAGGTGAACATAAACTTGTACTTTGCTTGTTTAAAGGAATGGACAGTTTTGATTGTGCTTCCACCTTGGTGTGACCACATAGGAATGCTATTTTGGCACCTATTATGCGTTGCTGG